ACACACTCCTTTTCACTGCTATTCTTGAAGCATCCTTTGGCTCAGGTCTAGAAACGAGCGACAAATTTGAGAGGTAATTATCCTGGTAGTTGAGTTTCTTTCGTCAGGGAGAGTGTAGTTATATGTTCTTCGGCCTCACAGAATTTTGCCAAAAATTTGTCCATCAACTGTTCCCATGTAGTTACATAGTCTGTCTCGAGGCTTTTATACCACCAATATGCTAACTTGGTGAGTGATTTCGAGAACTCTCGTAATCGTAGCAGAGTATCATGGCTATATCCACCGAGTGCCTCAATAAACTGTGTGATATGCTCCTCTGGATCGCCAGTTATGCCATCATACTTGGAAAACTTAGGTACGAGCTAACCGATAGGGTACAGAGTCAAAGCGACACTACGTGGGTAGGGTGGCTCACTTCGAAGCGCCAAAGACCAAGCTGCGCCGGGTGAGTTCTTTAGAAAGAAATCTCTCACCCAGGACTCAGTTGCCAGACCGTCCTCCTTCAACAAAGGATTGGGTAGTAGTGCCTTGTTTTGGACCCTGGCCTATGCATAAGTTGCTGGCATCAAGGGCTCAGTAGTACCTGAGAATATTGGGAGAGCGGGCTGTACAGGCGGAGTCATGAGAGACGAACTAGATTGGGCTTTGGCTTTCTTGTTCGCGTTCGCCTGGAGGTCCTGGAATAACATAGTTTCTATGTGTGCCAGAAGCTCCCCTAGTTCTCGATCGCTGGGTTTGCTGTAGGGACTGCGATGTGGTTATGTGTGGTCCCGAGTGTGTTGGCTGATATCGGCTAGTTGCCGTTTCATCATCTCTTAAGCCAGAAGCTTCATCCTATTTAGAGTAATGAGATTGCACCAGCTGGTTCTTCAGATCCTTCGATACTATATTGATATCCCCAGTGGAGTCGCCAAGTTGTAGGGGTTCTTTTAGGTAAGTCAATATATATTAAATAATGTGGATGATATCAAAGTACAAAATACAATGGAGTGATTATGCAGGGAAAATTCGGTCCTTGGGCTTGTGAACCTCGGCCTTTATTTATAGGCCCAGGCCCTTACACGAATGGGAAGGTCCCTCGAGACTTTTCTTAAGGTCACCCTGATAGCTCTATTGAGTACAATAGGAGTATTTCAGTCTTTTAAATTAGGGATATGTACCATTACATTAAATACCTATCCCTTCGAAGGCGGCGGTAGATGATGCTCATTAATGTGATTGACATCTTCTCACTCGAGATGCGTGAGTATCTCGCCTTTAGTTTGCCGAGATGGTTGACTCGAGTGGACCTTGGTGACATTAAATGTGTCAGGTGGCTTTACAGGAGATTAAACCCCTACAACAACAAACGTTACTAATCATAATTCGTACTTTTACTTCATCACAGTACACTAGCAAAACAAAAAACATGAAGGCTCTATTTGCTTCGACGTAAAATATTTTTCTCAAAAAATATTTTATTTTTTCAGGTAAAATATATTTTTTATTTTTATTTTTTGGTATTTAACAAACATTTAGGTCGAAGTTGAGGTCACATTTATTAGGTGTGGGTGTAAAATAACTTACCAAAATTAATAAACAAATTATTTTTGTCCGATTTTAATATTTTTTTTCTTTATAAATATTTTATGATAATCATAACTAAAAGACCATAAAATATTTTTCAAAAACCAATATGCTTAAACAACGAGCCGAAGAAGCTAAAAGCCATTGTAGATTTGACTGACAAATAAATGTGGTTGTTATGGTTGTATAAGCGTCTCTGTGGAGCCTGGTGGTAGATGGTTTAGTTTTGAACTTTTGATGGTGGGTTGTAGCAGCAATCTTCCGTACTTTGATGGTTTATCGAGTCAAATGCATTAACGACCCTAACTACTACCGTTAGTGATTACTTTTAATCTAGGCCAATTAATTTACTAATGACTTCATCATCATCCAACGATCACAAATAATCAATAATTAATACACTAATGTTATCTCTTTTCATTTCAAAACAAAAAGTAGATGACTCAAATCTTTCCACCAGCGTAGCTACCTAGTTCATTTATTGAAATGACGTCGTCTTGTACTTCGAACTTGAATTATGAATTTCATCACTTTTATTGATAAATATAATTTGGCAAAATCTAATCATTATATCAGTGAGATTTACTACTTAATTCGAAACATGGTTCACCGGATCAGTCGATCGTTATTCTTTTTCAAAGGTTCAATATCGTTACATACCTTCACAAGTTGATCGGTGACCGTGAACCATGACTCAAAGTAAATGCAATGAAGTTGTATCACTTAGGGGATGGTAATTTGATCTGGAGAGGGTTGGCCTAGATGGTTAGGGGGTCTGAACATTTTAAGCAAATTTGCAAAGCTGGGTTGAGATTAACGATTTTGGGCTCCCAATTTTTTGTTGGGATGGGCTTTTACATCTAAATAGCTCTGGTTTGTTTGACAAGACACAGTGTTGAATGAATGTTTTCAATTCTATGACACATTGACACCTCACAATGACACCTACAAATTAAGACATACAATTTATGCATTCAAGTAAACTAGGGAAAGGGAACTCAGGCACACCAGCTTGATGAGGTAGGTCGTTTATTAATTAAGCCATCGGATAATGTCTAAGAAAATATGTAACTTTACACATGCACCGGCTCTATAAGAGTAAAAGGAATTTGTTTGATCATCACCAAAAAGCCGGGATCATAATTAAGGCTATTATTTAATGGACAATACTAGGTCATCATCGATTAGGATACACATTATCAAAACCGTTAATGTAGACCAATAACAAATAAACAAGTCCTATTTAATATAATTACCAAATCAGAGGTGATAGGTAAGTGAAAGTACGTACCCCATCATCTCTGATTTGATAATTAAAGATGACATATCTATATGTTATTAAATATAGTTTAATATAGAGGCTTCAAAGCGTCAACCTACAATGAAAAGCGACTAAACTAATGTCAGATCAACCCAACTAATTAATTAGCCAATTAAGTTAATTAATTTGGTCCAACGTTTGAAGCTAGCTAGCACAAAAATAATTTAGGTAAACTAGAAGAGATCTTTACTAGGAAAGATCAGTAATAAATAGACCATAAACACACATCAAACACATGTAGGGTATGTGCCCTGTATTGATTGTGCTTTAAGGGCAACCAAGACCCATTATTCCTTCCAAAGTAAAGTACCACCTCAATAACCCAAGAAATTTTTACTTTCATTGAACTCCACATATTTTACGCTAACCACACTTTCCATGAAGACACATTTGGCGCCTAAGTTTGAATAAGACAAATAAAATAACGACTTTAACGGTCATTCTTTTCCTAAACATTCCATCTTATGTCCTCTTCAGTCCAGCTCTATCACAGGTCCTAAACCTTGTCCTGTCAGCTTACTTACATTAAGACAAAGCTTATGAGAAATACATTATTAGCACCAAAAGAAAAGAAGCAAGGCCATGGATTTGCTACTATAGTTGCGCTGGCTTAACCTTCAATTTCAACAAAACTAACTATAGTTGCGTTTAACCTTCAATTTCAACAAAACTAATCTCTAGTTATAGACTGATATATACAAGTAATATGATTAAGAATCCAAAATAAACAAGGCAAGAAAAATGTAGAAAAATAAGGCTGTCGTCAAGTGTCAATCCAGGAATTTAAAAGTTCACCTGCAAAAATAAATAAACCCTTCAGGTTTGCATCTACCATTTCCGTTAGTGCCACTTATGAGTATCACAAAGACAAGAAACAGTAATATCCGAATTGGTGAGCAATCCTACAAGGGTTGTAAGTGATTGCTCCCTCTCCAGTCTCAGTTATGTAGGGAAAAGCACATTTGGACACAGTTGCAATGAATATTAAAGTGTTGATGTTCAAGTTATCCTTCAGCACAACCACGTCGTCTTCAGGACCCCCACAAAGAATGCCGTTTTGCTCAACAACATATGGGCGGGCACAGAAGTTTTCAAATTCATCAATATAGTCACTCAAGTAACTGGAAGTCATGAGGTATGTCCACCACATTGCGTGACTACAGTCTTGAGAATGTCCATTTTCAGCTTTTTCACAAAGGGTTTTGGGCACATAGTTTGGGAAGCGCTTATACAAAAACAAAGTCAAGAATGAGCAAGAAACAAAAGTAGTGACTTCATAGCGACTGAGGGATCGAGCCCAATCTTGCTTCAACATGTCCAACCTGCACTATAGAGTACCTAAAAACATTGGTGCAAGAGGTGTTGTGGTTTTGTGGGGTCTGGTAATTATTTTTTAAGAAGATTTAATTATATGGAAACTTCCAAGAGTACTGAATTTTAGAAAAAATTCAATTTCCTGATTTGATATAACTTCCTTATTGGTTTAAGGAAAATTCAGTTTCCTGATCTGATTTAACTTTGTTATTGGTTTTGAATTCTACAAAAGGCAAGTTCTTATGGGACAAGTTTGTGACTCTATAAATATCAACTCTAATAAGATTTTAGATTCCAAAGATTGAACTTCAACCAAGCCTTGAAAGCTTGAAGAAAAGAAAATGAAAGAGAAAAAATAAAGAGGAGGGAGGGACTGTCGGGAGAGAGAAGTAGTGAGAGAAAATGAGACCCAAAATGGGTCCCTTGACCACTAATCAAAGGTATGTGGAAAGTGGGTTCCACCACTATGCAAAAATCTTTTTTTTTTTTTTATTTTTAATTTCTACCACACATATAAATGCACACCAATCATATAAAATTCACATATAACATACTAAATAAAATGAATATGATGCAAATAAACCCAAACAAAACTTCCGTCCGCAACAATTTCAATAATAGGTTTCACCCGAGACTTTCCGGCCTTGGATTTGTTACCCCCAAGTCAAGGTAATAAAGAAGTTGATATATATGTGGACATCCTTGACCTTGGATTTGTTACCCCAAATTTTTAACTGCATGCGAAGCACTCCTTTTCCACTACTGTGGAAAGGATTAGACCAAAAGAAGGGAAATGGAGGTCTTGGCCTGAGCATATTTACATGACTAACTTAATTGCTCCTTTATAGTCTGCAGATTCCCATACTGGCACACCACCTGGTGGGGGATTTATATTTAATTTAGTACTGTAAAGAGTGTGAAAGGAAGACTTGGAAGAGGACCAATTTTTTTTTTTTTCCTTGTTTGTTAATTTAGTACTGTAAAGAGTGTGAAAGGAAGACTTTGAAGAGGATCTTTTCCTTTTTTCTTTTTTTTTTTTCTTTTTTTTTAGTACTGTAAAGAGTGTGAAAGGAAGACTTTGAAGAGGACTTTTTCCTTGTTTGTCGTCTGCCCAAGTCCGATAACTATTGTATGGGTTTCCCGAATTAATATTGAAAGAAAAACAGACAAACCCCATTATGTGAAGCATGAGTAAATCATCAAAGAATTATGGCTTTACTATAATTCTTTCCTTCTATTTTATGTTTTCCGTGTTAACAATAATCTCCGATGCAGTAGAATTAGGCACCATAACTACAACACAATCTCTTACAGATGGGCAAACCACGGTCAGTTCAGATGGATCATTTGAACTGGGATTTTTCAGCCCTTCAAGTAGTACTTCCAGGAATCGATACTTGGGAATATGGTACAAGAAAATATCTAAGAGGACTGTGGTGTGGGTTGCCAACAGAGATACTCCACTTACTGATACCTCGGGAGGAGGTGTCTTAAAGCTCACTGATGGAGGAATTCTCATGCTTGTCAATAGTACAAGCAGCATCTTCTGGTCTTCTTCAAATTCATCATCAAATAACAACACAGTGAATCCAATTGCACAGCTTTTGGATTCGGGTAATCTTGTTGTCAAAGATGCAAATGATGAGAATTTCCTGTGGCAGAGTTTTGATTATCCGAGTGACACTTTGTTGCCGGGCATGAAGCTTGGAAAGAACCTAGTAACTGGAATTGATAGGCGTCTATGGTCATGGAAGTCCGGTGATGACCCTTCTAAAGGTGACTATTCATTTGGAATTGATCTTCATGGATTTCCACAATTTTTCCTCCTGAAAGGTTCAGTTGAGCAATACCGTTCTGGACCATGGAATGGTCTCCGCTTTAGTGGCGCAGTGGGTTTAAAACCAAACAGCATCTTCACATACTATTTTGTTTTTGATCAGCAGGAGGTGTATTATGGATTTGAGCTTCTTAATAGCTCAGTTTTCTCGCAGCGGGTTTTGAGCCAGAATGGAATTGTACAGCGCTTGACATGGAATTATAAAACACAGGATTGGATAGTTTATGGAAATAATCCTGCAGATCGCTGTGATTTTTATGGGCTCTGTCATTCCTATGGTATCTGCAACATTGATAATTCCCCAGTATGTGGGTGTCTCGATAAATTTATGCCAAGATACCCAAAAGATTGGAACACGGCGGATTGGTCAGGTGGGTGTGTTCGAAAAACGCCCTTGGATTGCCACAGTGGATCGGATGGATTTGTCAAGTATTCCCGCGTTAAATTGCCTGACACGCGGTATTCCTGGTTTAATAGGAGCATGTCCCTCAAGGAATGTCAGACGGTATGCTTAAAAAACTGTTCTTGCATGTCTTTTGCAAATATAGACATAAGAGGAGGAGGAAGTGGCTGCCTGCTCTGGTTTGATGATCTGATTGATATTAGGGACCTCCCTGAAAGTGGGCAAGATATTTACATAAGAATGGCCTCCTCTGAGTTAGGTATGTGTGATATATATCCCCTAACATGTAGATGAGTGAGTAGCTTTTACATTCTGTTGTGGAAATAAAAAAGAAGTTGCCATCCTCTCAACAACTTTGCAAGCAGAGTTGTAGAAAGGAGGCATAAATCGAGAGGCATAGAGAAGCTCTCACAAATTTTTATTTGCATTTCATACAGTACTTAGGTATGGATTATCTTATTAGATCTGTATCTGATAATTGCAGCCTCAGAATTAGGTATGAATTATGTTTATACCTTTTCTTCAGATTTGCCTTCAGTTATTTCAGTTAACTATAGAGAAGTGCCTTCTTTTACTGCTGCTTTAGTGCATAGTTTTCCTGCCTTAAATTGTAGTTACTTTAAACTAATGGTAAATTTTGACTGTGCAGAGACACATGGCAGATCCAATGTAAAGGGACGAGTGAGGATTATAGTCATTCCTATATTACTTATAGCAGTGGTACTCCTAGGCCTATTCCTGCTCTTGCATTTCTTGAGGAGGAGGAAGCTGAAGAGAGGAGGAGGTAACATATCTAGAAGACTCAATTTACTTTTCTTTTCTAATTAGCAAATAAAACTTCGAATTCTTGCCAAGGCGATCCAATCCAACCCCATCTTTAGTTAGATTCCAAGTATCCATTTTATGCCTTGCCCGCATTGAATGTCAAGATTTTTAAATATATTTCCTTTGCCACTTTATGTTGGTCTTATTCTGCACCTCCTCATGTTAATTGAGCCACTTTAGGTTTACAAAGAGGGCAGGTGGTTATAATCTGGTGGTTCATGTATGAAGTGTACCAAAATCAAGCTTTCTGAATGCTATTAATTTCAGACTTTCATTTTCAGTATTCTTAGTGATACAATTTTTTTCCCCCCTGGTTTTCTTAGTGATACAAATTGATAAAGTCATTCGACCAAAGTGATTTATTTTTATTTTTGCAAATAATCTACTAAAATGGACCTATCAGATTTTGGGTCTTAATCATGATCCTTTCTCTTAGGCTTACATTTTTTTTTCAGGATGATGCTAGTGAGAGAAGTTGTTTGTCATGAAGAGTGTGTATTTACCTGTCTTGAGAACATCAATGGTCACCATGAGGGGCTCACAACAAATAAACAAGTAGCTAACCTGGCCGCCTAGAAATTTACCATTTGGAACTGATATGGTTTTTGCACTAGGAGTGACAGCAATACCGCTATAGATGACATTTACTGAAGTAGGCAAATGATTAAAGAAACAAATCAATACTGCTAAAAATACATCTAGGATGTCATTACTTAAGTTTAACATTATTTCACTTTCTTTTCTGTTGATATAACAAAGGACAACAGCTGGACATCTCAACTCTTATTCTACCCACCGATGTTGCTGACAAGTTTCTTTTTATTTGTTGTAAATTAAACAAATAATTATCATGATGCCACTGTTTTTAAGAGTGCCATGCCTTACCAATCTAGAAAGAGAGTCTGGATGATCCATTAGGAAGAATAATTTTAGGGATTTCAATTTGGGGTCTTATTCAATGGTTTTTCCAACTTCTGGATCCATGCCATACTGCCATATATGTTATTCAAAGAATATGTACAACTTGCTTTATTCATATGAAGTTCATTTCCTAATCTGCAGGACCAATTAGACTCAATCAAGATAGAGATTACGCCAATGAAAGCGAGAGGAGAGATTTACAGTTGCCATTATTTGACTTTGAGACAATAGCAAATGCCACAAATAACTTCTCGATTGACAATAAGCTTGGAGAGGGCGGCTTTGGACCTGTCTACAAGGTAACGATCAATACTTATATAAAGCTATATATGCAGCATCTAGAGTAATAATTCTGCTACCAACTGTGCTCTGGTACCATCTCTATGCACCAAACCAGTATTTGCATAAATAGTTTTCAGTATTCTCTGAAACATTCTCAACTTAAAACTCCTCATTCTGAATGCTTAACAATGTTAATCAGTGCTATTCTTTTCAAACATATTCAATCTAATCTTTTTCCCGCTCAAAGGACTGTGTTTGCCTCTTTGAATGGTAATATAACAAAAAAAGGTGTGCCGAATACTGAACTAAGTGTTCCTCTTCTGTGACTCTGCTGTTATGATATGAACTAATTGTCTTAATATACTTAATGGAGACAATCTCCACATAGACTAGCACACTGAATGCCAAGGGAAGAGAAAAGGGAAAACAAGCTTGCTTCTTTTGGAAGCAGATAATGGAACTCTCAGAATGATAATTTTCAGGGTTTGTTAGAAGTGGGACAAGAAATAGCTGTGAAGAGGCTTTCAGAGAATTCAAGGCAAGGACTCAATGAGTTCAAGAATGAAGTTCTATGCATTTCCAAACTTCAGCACCGAAACCTCGTGAAGCTTCTAGGTTGTTGCATTCAAGATGATGAAAGAATGTTGATCTATGAATACTTGCCCAACAAAAGCCTGGATTCCTTCATTTTCGGTTTGTGTCACTATTTGTTTAGCCTTTTGTAATTTTTGAGTCTTAATATTCTAAACTTAGACCTGTCAAGTTACTTTCATTAAGCATGCTCCAAATTCCCCACTTCCTGTGGCGTGATGTTTAGGAGGATGCTCTTATCAAAAGCCTTGGGAAAAGGTAAGTGCCACGTCCATCCCAGTTGAAGATCGGAAATTGGATACTCTGACTTCATTGTAAGAAGTGCAGCTGCTTGAACTCTCTCCCAAGGATTATCCGTGGTTGTTTATTTATAAAAGTAGTTTTCATTTAGGTTGTCAATCCAACTAAACTGCAACATGGATTAAATGGATTCAAATTGGGCAGATATAAAACAAAGCATGTTACTGGATTGGCCCAAGCGCTACAACATTATCAATGGGATTGCTCGGGGCCTTAACTATCTTCATCAAGATTCCAGACTGAGAATTATCCACAGAGATCTCAAGGCGGGCAATATTTTACTGGATAGCAATATGACCCCCAAAATTTCAGACTTTGGCATGGCTAGAAGTTTTGGAGGTGATGAAACGGAAGCAAATACAACAAGAGTGGTTGGAACATAGTAAGAACTTTAAAATATGTTGAATATGCTACTTTTATTTGTCATAAATTGATTTTTATTTTTTATTTTTATTTTTGACTTCCTGCAGTGGCTACATGTCCCCTGAGTATGCTATTGATGGACTCTTCTCAGTAAAATCGGATGTCTATAGTTTTGGTGTATTGGTGCTTGAGATAGTTAGTGGGAGAAAAAATAGAGGATTTTATCATCCAGACCATAGCCTAAACCTCCTAGGACATGTAAGTGTCTCAAGCTATTATGTAGTATTTCAATGCGCTGATACAACATTAATGACCAAATGAGTGGCAATTTTCTAGGCATGGACACTTTATAAAGAAGACAAGACTTTGGAACTGATTGATGAAGCCAAAGTGCACTCCTGTGATCTTACTGAAGTATTTAGATCAATCCATATCGGTCTATTATGCGTGCAACAAAGTCCAGAGGACAGGCCAAGCATGTCATCTGTGGTTATGATGTTGAGTAGTGAGATTGCATTGCCTCAACCAAAAGAGCCTGGGTTTTTCTCTGGAAGAAAGTTTCCTGAAATAAATTCATCATCAAGCAAGCCTGAATCATGTTCAGTCAATCAAGTAACTGTAACATTTTTGGCCCCTCGCTAGAAGATGTTTCATGTTAATATTTTGGTCCTCCACACCTGGAAAAAATTCTGTGCAAGACTCTTTTTCAACAGAAAAATAAAATGAAGAAAGGATAATGAAATTACTGGTGATGTATAATATTTGGTTGAGGTATATTTTGAGGAAAGAGAATGTCAGAAGTCCAACAAGAAGGACCCCAGTAATTTGCAGTGTTGCTGGAGAGATTAGTCATGTAATTTTTTTTTAATTTTGGTGGCTATCTCTGTTATGAGTTGTCTTGATTTGAATTGTTTTGTTTTGATTTTATTTCATTTGTAGCCTAGTCTACCTATGGTATAGGACATTAATACCCTGTAGTCTTGTAAGTTATTTCAGTAAAAATTTCTCTTATTCATATATACTAATATTAGTGCTACCTCTATGTCTCTATACTTCAAAATCCAGTATATTATTTTCTACTCTATACACAATACCTAAAACTGTCGACTAGACAAGAATAAGATGCACAAGATGCAATAGTATGCACAAGGCTCAGCATGCAATGGAATAAGCAAGACGCACACAGAACAAAAATGGTGATGTGAGTATTGAACATGTAAAATCAGTGATAGGATAGAGCAAAGACGATATATATATATATATATATATATATATCGTCTTTGCTCTATCCTATCACTGATTTTACATGTTCAATACTCACATCACCATTTTTGTTCTGTGTGCGTCTTGCTTATTCCATTGCATGCTGAGCCTTGTGCATACTATTGCATCTTGTGCATCTTATTCTTGTCTAGTCGACAGTTTTAGGTATTGTGTATAGAGTAGAAAATAATATACTGGATTTTGAAGTATAGAGACATAGAGGTAGCACTAATATTAGTAGTATTTTTTTCTAGTACTATTCTTTTTTATTAATTTACCCCGTTATTTATTTTACTCATCCTATCTTATTTTATTTTATTTTATTTCGCTCTGATTGTCACTCTCCCATAGCCGATACCCAAAATGTGAAAGGAGGTGGGTAAGTGTCAGTAGTCGATCTAGGTCGAATCATTTTGATGAATTCTCACTCAAATAGAAATATCACAAAACTTATACAATAAAAACATAAGAAGTAGGCTAAAAGGAAAACTATGTATGAGGGACATTTAACCTACTATATTGTATGGAAAGGAGTGTTGAGCCCTAAAATAAAAACAAAGACCACACCTTCATATAGCAAAAATGAGAACGTTAAGATGCATGTGTAGAGTGACTAGAAGAGATATGAAAGTGAGATATAAAAACTAGGGTGACACTCATTGGTTAAAATATAGAAAAAGTAGGCTTAGATGACAAATTCCGCTTTGTTTGATCAAGTTGTAATTTTATTTTTATTTTGAGTCTCAATGATGGGAGCTAAATAACCGATTGGACTTTTCTAATCCGTTAAATATCATATTGGATTGCTTTGGTTCTACATATTAGACTTTTCTAAAGAGCCCAATAGTTTTGTGTAAGATAAATAAATAAATGAATAAAATTTGTATAGGTTCATTAGTAATGCATCAAGAGGTGTAATTAATACAAGTAAAGTTCAAAGGAACATAATAAGCACAAAAATACTAAATAATAACAAAGAATATACTTCAATCAATTTGTGTTAAAACTTAAAGTATTTATATATATATATATATATATATATATATATATATTATTATAATAATAATAATAATAATAATAATAATAATATTTGTACGTATTGTATAAGTAATGAATTAATTTGGCTAAATTGGTTAGAATTGGATTTTTGGAGACTTAAATTCGTGAATCGAGCGAAATGTACAATTTACATATTTTTTAAACTCCTAATGAATTAATGGACCATGTAACTAGGGGTACACAAAAGAACAGTGGAACTGGAACCGGAACCGTGAGAATCGAACCTGGTTCTCACGGTTTCGGTTCCAGTTCCGGCTCCTAAAATGAGGAACCGTTGAGTGTCGATTCGGTTCCGGTTCCGATCTCACGGTTCGGTTCTGGAACCAGAACCGTAATATATATATATATATATATATATATATATATTTGATTATATTTTTTTTATTTTTTTATTTTTTCTTCCTTGCATTTTTTGCAATTTTTTACTATAATGAAAAGAGAAAATTAATTTTGAAATATGAAAATTAGAATAGTTTTTGTAAAAATTGTGGAGAGTGTTAGTTATGAAGAACAACAATATATCAATATTTTAAGGATTAATTAAGTGTTTTTTGTTTTTTTTTTTATCTGAGATTAATTAAGTGTTAAGAAAGTTCCAATTTGCATTAAGAGGTCCAAGCTCTTTTTTCAATGGAATTAAAGATAAAGGGCATGCAAAATATCCACATGATGAGAGAGAAAATTTTGGCAGATCCCTTTTTTGGTGGAAAGCAACGGTGTGTTGTTGAAAAGTTTAACACGTGGCCCTCCATGTTCGCGGCTGGAAATGCCCGCGAGTCGTTGACCGTCTATTACAAGAGAGCTTTACCAACTCGAATTTAGGGATAACAAATTACAACATGACACAAAGTCGACACGAGTTAAAAGGATTTGAGTTTATGTTTGGAAGAAACGGGTTTGAGTCATAAAAAAGTCGACACGATTAACTCGTTTACTTAACCATGTCGAGTTAGGGTTGAGGAGTTCAACCCGTGTAACCCGTTTATGACCCATTTAACTCAACATGTTATAATCGTTATTATGACTTATGTAATATGTTATTTGTTTAAATCCAATTATGATGAATAGTTAAGTCATTTCAATATAAACCTTATTTATGTCTTATGATTTTTCTTTTTATTTTGAATATTTGAGTTAATTATGACAATTTTTTTCTATTATTTATGTAAACACTAAAAATTTAATGGACTTTGGTATTGACAAATTGACACATTCAATATGGTTTTAATGTTTAATTAAATTGTTTAATTGGCCCAAGCTTGGTCCACTTCAATTATTTAATTAGTTCAGCCCAGATGATTAAATGGAAAGATAATTATTCCTAATAAAATATTTTTGGAATAATTATTTTTAAAGATAATTATCACAATATAACTGACCCGACCCAATTATAATTTTATTCTTATCAGGAGATGACACGTGTCATCATCCTATTAATCTAAAAAGCCTATAAATAAAGGCCTGAAGGAAGAAGAAGGAGACACAAATTCAGAATTCAGAAATTCAGAATTCCAGAGAGAAATACAAAAGCTCTCATCCCCAACAACTAAACCCAAAGGCGAAGAACATCAAGCACATCAAATCGTAGCAGTCTTCATCAAATTCCACGGTGATCAACAATAAACACATCCAAAGTCGTGCCGTTCGTCATCCAAATTTCACGGTGATTCAAGATCAAGCTCGTACAGCACTTGAATCCAACCAACCAACAAAAAAAGGAGATTTAATCAGAGGACCAATTCTTTCTTTTGTAAAGAATATTATAGAGGATTATACCTCAATTTCTCAAATTAATAAAATTATATTATTTGTTCCATATTTTGTTTTTGTTGCAGACTTACAAAATTTGTGTGTACAAATTCTGGCACGCCCGGTGGGACCTCCTTTGCCTCCATCTCTTTCTCCTATCAGCAAGTTTCTTCTCTATCCGACTCTATGGCTCCACCTAAGACTCAGACAGACAAGAAAGCCCAAAAGAACATCGCTATCACAAAGGTCGACGCCAAAGCCACTATGAAAAGTGGCGCGAAGGCCAAATCAAGTGATGGAAGTACCTTGGTGGGCCCTGTGACACGTAGCAAGTCCCAGGCGATGGCTTTATCCAAACATCAGCAAGACTTGGTGAAAACCAATCCTACAAAGCCGGCAAACGTGAAAACCTAACATGTCAAGAACCCTGACGTTGTTCCAGAGGAGATTCTGCCACCAGATTCACCTCATTCCATCCATGATGCTCACTCTAGTGTTGGTTCACCCCTAGAGTCACTACGTCAGACTTCGGAGTATTCAATCACTTCAAGAAACGTTGACTCTCAAGGCCTATCATACTTAGATGTGGTCGCTGCTATGATGACTGTAGCTGCCACGGTGGAGGAGCAACTAGCAACTATGTCTCGTGCCATTGAGAACCTCACAAAGACTGTTGAAGAGAATGACTTACAAATCGCTATGCTGATGAACAAATTGGAAGTTCAGACCTTCGGTGAATCACCAGTACAATCTGGGCATCCTGCATCTTCCACACCACCGCCAACTGGGAATCGTGCAACTTTCACACCACCACCATCTGGGAATCCTACATTTTCCACAGCAATACCGACGGAGAATCTTAATTCTACCGCACAAGGTACTCGCATGGAGGACCCCAAACAGACGCCGGTCACAGAACAGGTGGCTAATCAAAACCAGACGCCGGTGATAGAATAGGCAGCTAGTCAAACCAATCATGCTTCTTCAGTCTTTTCATTATCTGTCGCACAATTGCAAAATATGATAACGAATACAATCCGAGCCCAATATGGAGGCGTCTCACAGAGCACTCTCATGTATTTAAAGCCCTATACAAGGAGAATCGACAGTATGAGAATGCATATAGGATACCAACCTCCGAAGATTCAGCAATTTGACGGAAAAGGTAACCCCAAGCAACACATTGCCCATTTTGTCGAGACCTGTAACAATGCCGTAACAGAAGGGGACTTACTAGTTAAACAGTTTGTCCGCTCCCTTAAAGGAAACACGTTCAAGTGGTACACCGACCTAAAGTCAGAATCAATTGATAGTTGGGACCAAATGAAACGAGAATTCTTGAACAGGTTCTATAGCACTTGTCGTACTGTTAGTATGATTGAGTTAACTAACACAAAGCAATGAAAGGATGAACCTATAATTAACTACATTAATCGGTGGAGAACACTCAGTCTTGACTACAATGACCGATTGTCAGAAATCTTTGCTGTGGAGATGTGTATGCAGGGAATGCATTGGGGCCTTTTTTACATTCTGCAAGGTATAAAACCTCGCACATTTGAAGAATTGGCAACACGTGCCCATGACATGGAGATCAGTATGAAATCCCATGAAGGCAAAAGTCTCGTGGCCATAGAACCAGGCAAGGATAAGAAAGAATGGAAGAAAGGCGATAAGTCGTCAAAGATCGCTGCTAAAGATTCCATGGCTATCTCAACCACCCCAATCAAGATATCTGTTAAAGATGATAAGAAGGATGATAAAAAGCATCGCCAGTTTCAAGAGAGGGAAAGACAGCGTCCTACGCTAAAGGAGTTAGAGAAGAAGGAATACCCTTCCCCGATTCCGATGTCCCTGGCATCTTGGAACGTTTACTCGAAAGTAAAGTTATAGAACTCCCTTAATGCAAATGCCCTCAAGCGATGGGACGTCTCAATGATCCAAAATACT